TTGTAGTTTTGTATTGCCAGCATATAGAAATGTAATTGATTTTTGTGGATTAATGATATATAATCTTACCAGACAGTATGAATAGCTTTGTGTAGGCTTTAAATAATTTTAAGTTAATACTGCTTGAACATATTTATAATAGCTGCTTTAGCTTCTTTGATAATTCTATTATCTTTATCATCCCTACATATTTTTATTTTTTCTTCTAATGTATTAAGTGACAAAAATTGCATGTAGTTACCATGGACAACACAATGTTTTAAATATATATATCTTGAGGAATGCAGAATTGAACCAGTTAACAAATATATTAATTAGGATACATATCATCTTTGTAGTGAAGACTTTGAAATCTACTCTAGTGATTTTCAAGAATATAGCATATTATTTTTACCTATAGTCACCATGACTCTTGAACTTACGTCTCTTCTCCAACTGAACTTTATATTTTCTTTGACCAGTAACCCCATCCTTCCCCCACTCCCAGCTCCCTGTTGTATCTATATTTGCTTCCATATTTTTCTTCCCAGTTATAGATTACATTTTACTGTTTCTTCACTGGCTTTGAGTTCTGTGCTGTCGAGTGCTGAATTTTGGTGTATTCCTTCAAAAAAATTGGGAACTTTGTCCTTAAAGGCATTTAACTTGCTTACAGTTCTGTTTTGTCTCTTTGAAGCTTGCTTTAAAGCTTTTCTCAGGGCAGGTTTCAAACAGAAATCCGGCGATTTTATTCTGTAAGTGTCCAAAGAGTGGGTACTATTTACAAGCCATGTGGTCTTCGTTGCAACTTCAACTCATCCATGATCATCAAACAATAGTCAGATTTTCTACTCTGATACTTAAACAAGTGTGCCTGGCTAAGTCCCCTCAAAATTTTATTTATTTAAGCAGGTGATATGCTGGAATTAACCTTGAGACTGTAGTTTTCCAACCTGTAGTCTGATGAATACTTCCTTCTGGAATTTCTTTACCCCACTACTGAAGAGTAGCTTTTCTGGAATTCCTCCTGAATCCCCTGTGTATTTATCAAGGCCTTTCCTGTGACTGTAGAATCTGAAAGAAGTCTGAATCTCTGAACCATATCTCCTGCATACTGCTCTTCTGGAAGTTTTTTGCTTTCTGGATGGTGCCCTACACATGTGCAAGTTTGATTGATCCAAAGTCTAACACATGTCTCTGGGTCTCCTTCTGTACGTAGCTCCTTTTCTCCAACACAGGGCTCTGCAGATTCTAGTTAGCTCAGCCTCTGAGGTCTCTACTCAGACCTCAATTGTGTGGTTGCCTTACTACTTCAGTTCAGGTTGGAAAGCACTTCAAAGCAGAATTCTGGGGTGATGATAGGAGGTGGCTTTTTACCCTCTCTCTAAGGGACCACAATCATGTGTTTTCTATTGTTCATTGTCTAAAAACAACTGTTTAATATGTTTTGCTCAGGGTTCTAGGTGCTTATATCTGAGGAATAATTTTGTACCTTTTTTACTCTTACCATAGCCGGAAGCAAAAATTCTCTCATTACTTACTATAATGTTCAAATTGTCTCTTATTTGGCCAGTAAGTTTTGCTGAAAGCCAGCTCTCTAAAGTTTTTATCATGAGCCCTTTGTATTTTCTTAGAACTCTCTTGATTTCTGGCACACACACACACACACACACACACACACACAAACTCACACAAACGCGCTTGCTTGCTTGACTCATGCCCTCTCTCTTTACGTTAATTCACAATAGGCCATTTTCCCAACAAGAGTTGGCTCTCAGCTCCTTGAGCTTGGTGATCACCCATAGACATGAGATGGACCTGCACCCAAAAGTAGGGTGTGCCCAGGCTTTCTGATTGGCTTTCCCAAGTCTGTGGAGCAAAGGGGAGAGAAAGGAGTGAACCCTAAAGTCTGTCAGTGGTCAAGTCAAAAGCAAAATGATGACTTAGAACTACCCAGCATCTCTTATAAAATTTCTTCCCTAAGTAACCAGAAGCATAGTGTTGCCGTGAGTGGAGGTGGAGAAGGTTGTACAGTTGGACAGTTTGGAAGGGAAGAGTCAGAGTTCATATTAAAAATATTAAATTTCAAATGCCTGTAAGATATATATTGAGGATCTCAACTTTTATAATTTGTTCTTTTGTATAAAACAAAATTTCCTAACATGATGATTGCTATCTTATTTATGCCATATTTTAAAAAATCAGTAGTACACACACAATTGCTTAAAGGTTTTAATATCAGAATTACTTAAAGATCTATGGTGACCTCCTAATAGTTCATTTTTTTTGGACAAAACAGCCATGAAAAATAAATTGGAAATAGGTAAATACTATTACTTCATAATTTTCCTTAATATTTACCAAAAATCCAATTATTTATTGTATCATGTATTATTTCATGGTTACAAAACATGATAGCAGTGTTTTCTCTATTAATGTAGATAAATTAGGTCAAATTAGTTTTCTGTAATATTTCGACTTGCATGTTTTTCGTAATGCAGCTATTTTTATTTTATAATTGCAAAACCTTACTGCTATCCTAAAATATTAGCCATATTGATTTGTGTAATATATTGGAATATATAATGCTTCTGTTTAGAGACATGTCCAGATTATTTTCTTATTGCATTTTAAAAGAATTGGGTTGCAGCTTGATTTAGTCACTTTGAAGAAAAGTTTCTTAAAAGCCTATTTTGTGTTTCCTCTCCAAACAAATTGGAATTGACAGAATCAATAAAAATGCTAACCTATATAAAATGAAATAATCTAGTAATTTCTTAGGTTCTCAACAGCCCTTTGACCACTAAGGCATGTGGTGGCCAGCTTCACCTTCACTGGTCCTCAGTGGTATTTATTATATCCTGAGATATCCAACCTGATATCATCTCTCTCCTTTTAAAGCTATGGATTTAAAAATAACTCAGAAGACAGGAGATCTGAATCTAATTTGCACCTTTGTTTTTGAAAAACCTGCAAGTCATTTAGCATCTATGATCTTCAGTTTTCTCATCTATGAATGCGAGTTACTGTAAATAATCTCCATTTCTGTGTAGGTGGAAAATATTTAATGTTATGATTCTGAGTGAAACTGTATAATTGAAACATTAAAGTCTTTTGTTGTACCCCTGGTCTACTAAAATGAACTGAGCACCTAGAAAAAAATTTAATCCCATACTGCGAGAAAAAGAAATGTTAACAGTGAACCCAGAGAAGAAAGTTTTGTAGGAGGCAAAATGCACAGTTGAAACTTAGGTTCAATGGCATTACAAGAGGAAAGGCTGTTAAATTAGGTAACCTCAAACAAGCAATCCAGCAACAGCCAAGTACACAAAGTGGCAAGAAGCCTTCAGGTTTCCTCTCCAGGGGGTTCTGTGTGGCATTCTATTGATCTTCTCCTACCACTTTCCTTCTGCCCATCTACTGTCTGGAAATTGAGACCTATCCAGGACTCAAGAGCTTCTATATGAGGATGTGTTAGTTTTTTGATGCTAAAACAAATACTTAAGATGGTCAACATAGTAAGAGAAAAAAAAACGTTGTATTTAGGCTCACGGTTTTGAAGTTTTTTCAGTCCATAATCAGCTGACCCCTTTGTTTTTAGGCCTGTGGTGAGGCAGTGCATCCTGGTGGAAAGGCACAGTGGAGCAAAACTTCATACCCAATGGTCAGAAGTGAAAAATAAGGAAGAGGAAGGGTCAAGGGTCTCACAGTCTCCTTCAAAAGGTTGCTTCCAATGACCTAAACACCTCCCACTGGGCCCAGACTCTCTCCCTGTTGTACGTTCCTGGAGACAGTCTTTCAAATATGAGTTTTTGGAGATCCAAATAATAGCAACTATAGCAGAGTTTTATCAGCAGGAATTTCCAGAACACCTTACAATAAATTTCTGGAATAGAACCTCCTAACTCTAATCCACATCAGCCCTCAGGAAACATGCCTCCAGCTATGGAAGCTCCCATCCTAGAAATAAAGGAGTGGTGTCACCAGCTCCCCTCCACAGACAATTGGAGAAAAGAAAGAGGAAAATTTTTGATCATACGATGTAAGAGATCAAAGGTGAAGCTAATGTCCCGTGCTGGATTTCTGAACAGTTTCTTTTTTTCTGAAATACTGTAATTATAATGGTTATACTCTTTTGTAATTTTGGAGGGATGTGGTAATAATAACCTGGACAGTACATATTAAACTGCTTTATCGTTTCCAAAGCACTTTCTTCCATGCATCACTTGTTTAACTAATATTTACCGATCACTTACTCAGGATCAGACTCAGGCCTCGGCACTGTTATGCAGTAGTCTCTTGAATTGCCTTAATTTCTCCAGGATTTTGCTTTTTCTTTCTTTAGACAGAGAAACTGAAGCTCAATGGGTGTCAATAAAATCCGAGTTAGATAACTAATACACACTAGCCCTGGAAATCAAATGCAGGTCATCAGAGACATTGGTCTTTCCGTTATATTTTGTGAACAGCTATCTGTGGTTGGCATTGCTTTGCAGGGAAATTGTTTCTGTAATTCCAAATAATGACAAATAATCATGCATTTTGGAGAAAAACGTGTTGGAAAGTCTTATATTCATTAAATATGCTTGACCCTACTTCTGAGAGTAGTGTATACATTTGGCTTCTGATAAATATTGGAGTCAATCAGTGCTAACAGAAACTTCCAAATACTCCATAAAACATTAGCAGTTAGCACCTTAAAGATTTTATTTCAGGGCAAAAAATTGGAAGGCTTTACTTTGACTCTTATATAGAATTTGTATCCTTAAATGGTGTGCAGGGAGTCTTGGGGTACTCTCCTAAATCAATAAAATGATACATTTTTTAAAAATTGTGAATGATCTATAGGCCAAGTCTCTAGAGTGGATTAGGGACCAAAATAGGGGTCAGGAACTTTAAATTCTTCAGAATACTACGACCCTTTATATATTACAGCAAATCTGTTCTTAATGTCTTTCAGCCTCATGGAATGTGCCAGGAATATTTCTCCAGCCTGTTTTGATTTTTGTTTTTTGATTAAGGTTATTGCCCGGCTGGCCATCGGGAATGTCAGAATGGCAAATGCTACGGACCAGAACAAAGCTGCAATTTCGTAGATGACTGTGGAGATAATACTGACGAAAATGAGTGTGGCGGCTCCTGCACTTTTGAGAAAGGCTGGTGTGGCTGGCAAAACTCCTTGGCTGAAAACTTTGATTGGATTTTGGGGATTGGCTCTCATCAAAGCCTGAGGCCCCCCAAAGACCACACACTTGGAAACGAGAATGGTGGGTAATCAGGTCGCCCCCGTTGCCAGAATCCTGTTCACGAGGCCCTAATCTCATTGTGTTCCCTGACAACAACTGCAGAGAGCACCACTGGTATGGCAAGTCAGCCGAACCTTAGTGAGTGTCTGTTTCCTGGCGCTACTGTCACAAGGGGTCATAGTACAGGGAGCTGTAAAAACAGTTCTGGAGGCTGAACACCTAAGATCAAGCTGCTGGCAGGTTGCTTCCTTCTGTGAGAGGGAGTTACCTCTTCCTCACCTCTCTCTTAGGCTCCAGCAGCCTCAGGGTTTCTTGACTTGTAGGCAGTGGTGCCCAGGTGTCCTCCCATTGTCTTCTGTTTGTGTATGTCTTTCCCTCTACCCAAACTCCTCCTCTTTCTTAGGATACAGTCCGATTGGGTTAGGGGTCATGCTAAGGATCTCATCTAAACGTCATTGGAAAAAGAGACCCTGTTACCAAAGAAGGTCACATTCATGAGGTCTAAGGATTGGGATGTGATGCTCTTCAACCCACAACAATAAATTGAAAAATCTAATATTAACAACTATTTTGAGAATTATTGTTAGGTGATAATGCAGGCTGCCATTAGATACCTCTCCTAAGGCACACGTTTATAACCAGTAACCTTGAATTCTGACACTCATTTGATCATTACCGCATTTAACTTTCCAGCATCTCAGATCTCTCATGTGTCCCATGGAGATCATCAAACTTGCCGTGTGTGCCCAACAGGGTTGTGGAGACAAGTGAAATGATCTGTAGGAAGGGAAAGGAGATTGAAACCTGTTGAGGTGCTGTGAAAATGTCACTGTGAAACAGCGTATTTTAGGAGTGTTGTGCATGGATTGTTTTGTAACAAGTGGACTCAAACTCACTGATTCAGGAATAAAAATAATAAGCAGTATGAAGCAGAGACCTTGAATTCCTGTGTGTTGCAAAATTGGAAAAAGATATCTAAATATTGAAATCCTGCAGTTCTATAATACAAATCTGATTAAGCCAGGCTCACCAAACCAGGGAATGGAAGCCCTAAATCCCATTCAAACACTCAGCTATACATTCTTGAAAGAGCGTAAAAATTCTGATACACAGAATAAAGCTCAATATTATTCTTCTCACATTTCATATTAAAATACTGCTTTATTTACACGCTCAACAAGTGCTGAATATTTGGAAGGACATATTTAGATTTCCTAGGGAATCTTTGCAATTGTTTTACAATACCCAGCTAGTTTAGGGGTGCATTAAGTGATTTCTGTAACTATGTTGTTGATTTGATAGCATAAATATCCTGTCAGATGAGTTCATCTGCATACTGTGAAGCACTTTGCTAAAAGCACAGACAGCTGAAAATTGCGCTGTCAGTGAACTAGAGACAAGGCTATTAGACTTACTTTCTGTTTCAAATGAAAATGCCTCGGGCAGCTCAGATCCTATGAAATGTAATCAAAAACTCTAACTAAGAGGGGAAAGCTGAAATAATCCCTTCATTGTCATTTTGGTCTTATCTGAATCCCACCCTCCCTCCTAGGGCACTTCATGTATCTGGAGGCTACTCCCATGGGCCTGCGGGGTGACAAAGCCCACTTCAAGAGCACCAGGTGGCAGGAATCCAGTGCCACGTGCACCATGAGCTTCTGGTATTTCATATCTGCAAAAGCCACAGGGTCCATTCGGATTCTCATTAAGGTAGGATCCTGGCTCCGATGCCTCTGAGCTTCCAGTGGACTCCCGCAGACAGCACAAAGCCTGAGGAGTTCATTACAGGCCTTTTGACTCAGCCCAGGGAAGCCTCACTTCTTCCTGGGGAGCAGAGGCCTGCTGACCTGGGGCATGAGAACCTGCTCAGAGTGCAGGGGTACATCCTGTGATTTTGGCCGAGTCCCCAGACTTCTTTTATAAAAACAATTAGTCCAGTTCTTTCCAGTAGTTGTTTCCTTCCTTCTCTTTTTCAAGAAAATAGATTATTTGTACATCTGAAAGAAGGGAAACTATGCATTTTTCTCATATATGAATAATCACTATGGAAACTAACCACAGATATTCTACTCCAAGCATGCTGTGCCCAGGACTGACCTGCCCAAGAGCATGCTCAAGGTAGGATTACATTGAACCACTCATTAAAGATGATGTGCTACTACATTCTCTTATGGAGGATTAATTGGATGTTTCCGTCAGGGCTGTAATTTAGTATAAGAAAGTGACAGTGTTTGGGTAACAAAATAGCAAAGTAAATATTAATACTATTAATGAGACCTGATTCAAACACATTACTCTTTAGCAAGTTAAAACAGGCAATGAAAAGGAGGGGTGTGTGTGTGTGTGTGTGTGTGTGTGTGTGTGTGTGTGTGTGTGTGTCTGTCTGTCTGTCTGTCTGTCTGTCTGTGGCTATGTGGGTTTATTTGAAGCATCTAGTTAAAATTCTAAGAAAGCTTGCTTTAAAACATGCTCCAGTGGCCACTGCTGTTTTATCACACATGAGCTTTGCTGAAGTGTCCTGGCACTGATAGAGAACACCCAACTCAAATGCCAAAGAGCTAATCTACCTGAATAGCTTGTGGCTAGTTCATGTTTTATCAGAAACCTGAAGTGACTTCATCACTTAGGACTCTTCTATAGTGGTGCGGAGAAGCCAAACCAGTAAGATGCATGCAGGAAACCACAGTGATTTAGTCTACTGTTTGAATTTGGAAACTGCTTGAAATACAAAACTTAAAGTTCTCACAGGAGTATTTCAGTAGTGCTCTTTTGAATCCAATGCTTGATTATATGGTGTGCACCATGTGAGGACTTTGATTCTGGTCTGTGGGATTTGTTTTTGTTATTTGCTTCACTCATATTTACATTTCGACTATCATATAGCAAAAACCGTCAGTTACTAAAAAATGTGAAAGTAAACTCCTTTGAGATGGATGTTTATCTTCCTATCAAGTCATGTCGAACGCCTGTGGTTCCTGCAATTGATTCTTAGGGAAATTGCACAGCATTCTGAGACAGTCATCTTTCTACCTTATAAGAACAAAACAACACACACACACACATATTTTTAAAAAGTGTAAGCCTGTTCTTGGAATTAGAGGTGCAGCTCAATGGTATAGCACTTGCCTAGCATGCATAACACCTTAGGTTTGATTCCCCCATCACTAAATAAAATATGTGCCTATTCTTATGTAGTCACACGGATTGTGGAGGAGAGGAATCTTTCATAACATGTATTTAGATTACGTTCATGAATTGAAGGCAACTGTTTCATTTTGGTAAGTAATGTAACACATTTTTGATTATGGTCGCAAAGAACTTAGTTTTCCCTTTGTGTGAAACCCTGCTAGATGTTAACTTGCTCATGAGTTTGAAAGCGTCTTAGTCATATGGCAGACTCAACAGGTTGAAGTTGTTCTCTCTGCTCCCCCTTCTCTCTCTGTCTTTCGTTCTTTCCTTCCTCATCATCCCTTAAAAATTATTCCACTTTACCCTGTGTTCCTTCTGGTTCAGTCTCCCCTGCCCTTTCCCTGCCTTCTCTCACACTGAGCCTCGTAAGGTCTGGAAGGTTCAGCCTTTTGCAAAAAGTTCCTTGGCCACTTTTACCTTCCATGATGTTGCCTCTTCTGAGTGTCCTTCATGACTCTAAGAACAATTCCTACTCACTGGCTGGTGGTTGGTGTTTATTCTAATCCAACAAATAGACTAAACTCTTGAGAGCAGGGCATTGAGTTTTAGCCTTTGCAAGTTCTTCAGATCCTCTGAGACGGGAATGCTGGATGAAACATAAGGACGTAGTGTCTCCCCAGAGCCTTGTTTAAGGGTAACCTTTGTGAAGGAATGGCTGTACCGCATGGCATGCATGTCATAAAATCTAATATGAAGAATTTATATTCTAAATCTGAATTATATACATGCAATCAGACATAACAGCATGTACCCATTGAACAATAATTTACTGGTGGGATATTCTGCATAGGGTAGTACTGATAACAGTTGCCAGCAACAATAATACTTACTAGCGGGTAAGGCCTATTGGACATCAACACCTGTATTGCTTCAGGTAATTCTTAGCACAACCTCCTATATGATACACCCTGTGAGTGACAGAGATGGAATTTGAATCCAGGCATATCTACATACAAAACCCATATATTCACTCCACCCAAGTGCTCTACGCTGACTCTAATAGAGACTGTGTTACCTGACATCTATCTACGGTGCAAGATTTTTTTTAGAAAAACAAAATGAGTAATTGTTACTAGAATAGAGGTATATGCTTAAAATAGTTAACTGTATCCACTTGAGTAAGAAACACCCAGCTGATTGGATCAGCACAGTTCTGGGTGTGGCTGAATGGATTTACTGAAGACCGAAGAAGACCCACCTAGGTGTGAGTGGCACCAACCGATAAGCTTGTAGCCAGGATGCAATAAAAAGGAAGAGGAAGAAGGAAGAGAAGGAAGGCTCGCTTCTGTTTCTTCGAGGATCTCCAGTCTTCACCTTCACTTGGATGTCATCTCCTGGCTTCCAGTGCACACTCTTCAGGCTTCCAGCACAGACCCTTCAGCCTCCTGATACGGACTTGTACGGGGCACTACAGTAAGCATTTAACAAAAAGTTGCACATATATAGATAAGCAAAAGTCTTTTGCACTGAACAACTTCCCCAGTCCTTTTTCATTTATTTATTTTTTATTTTATTTTATTTATTGATTGATTGATTGATTGGATACCAGGGATCGAACTCGAGACCTTGTGCTTGCGAGGCAGGCAGCAGCACCACTGAGCTAAATCCCCGGGCCTTGGCCCTTATTTTTTATTTTTCGACAGAGTCTTGCTAAGTGCTGTGTTGCCCAGGCTAGGCTGAAATTTACCGCATTCCTACCTCAGCCTCAGAGTGTTGGGATTATAGGCATTTGGCACCATGCCTGGCTCAAAGCAGCACCATTTTATTTTATATATTGCCTGTTTTATAATTTTTCCTTGTATTTCTTTCTGTCAGTCACATTTTCTTTCCTTTGTTGTTTGCTTTGTTGTTTGTTTAAAAAGCTGTAAAACTATATAAACTTTTCAAGAGGAAAAGCAATTTTTCCAAAAGACCAGTCTTTTTTGTGATATCAGAGAGATCACCAGGTATAAGGATGAGGGGCTCTCCCTGTAGCCCCTTGAGTCAGGCAAACCCCCTGCCCAGGGGAAGGGGGACCCCTTGGGACGCAGTGACAACCCATGTCTTTCCTTTGCCTACCTTTTGTGGGTGACTCCAGTGAAGCTCAAGTAGATTAAGTGGTAAATCTAAGGTCACAAATAAGTAGATGAGGTAGCACCTGAGCTCAAGTATTCTGAAATCCAAATGAGAATGCACACACTCGGTTTGGTTTCTGTGTTTCCAGGAAGGATATTTATATGTTAATAACCCAAAAGAGAGACTATGGCTTTTTCTGGACTTACTAATAGTTCATTTAAGAAATAGTATATTTATTTTTGATAACATATCTTACGTTAACCTATGTTTTAACTCATTCATACGCAATATTCTCATTAAATTGAAGTGCATTGCTTTTCAAATAATCAACTATTTAAAACAAACTACGTTTTTCAAAAGCACTCAAGAATAAAATAAGTGTTTTACAGTGTAAAAGTTAACTTGGTTTACAAATTAATTAAACCACTTTACTTGTTTATCTGTAGGGTTAACTAAGGATAAATAACAGGTAAGTGAACATCACGAAGAATTTTTGAGAAATTTTAAAATTAGTGTTTGATGGTTTATTTTTGTTGCTAAAAGTCTGTTTAGCCTCAGCAAGAAACAAAAGACCTTTGTGTCTTTCCAGTTAGCTGTTTTAATAAAATCCAGGAACACCTGCTATCTGTGGAGCATTATCCTCTTTGGAAATACTCCATCTGTAATAAATAGTTGATATTTTAATCAAGATGACTGTGTGCTTCAGGGAATCTAAGTATATTTAATTGAAAGCATTCAGGACTATCCATTATGTAGTCATGATGGAACATAGCATATTTTCAAGCCAGAAGTAGAGAAAAATAATGTATTTCAGGAGAGCTCTCCTGATGGAGTAACCTAGGTGTGCTGAAAGACCATAATTAAATTAGCTGATTGCTTTATCTTGCTTATGGATACAGAGAATTTTAAAGCGAGTGACGGTGGCCATCAAATAAATTTAATCTAAGCTATTCATTTAACATATGAATGCAGAATGCAAGGTTATATTTCTTGCTTCTGTTCACATGGTATTTAAAAAAATTAGAATGTGGATCCAATTTTTCTGACTTATGATTTAAGGTTCTTTTTCTTGACTTCCTGAAAATTCTCTCTTAAGATTTTGAGATTCAAGATGTAAATACAGTCAGCCTTCCCTATCCATGGGTTCCCCATCTGCAAATGTATTCAGACATAAAAATATTTGGAAAAAATTGCATCTGTGCTAAACATGTATATATTTTTGTCATTATTCCATCACAAAGCATTATAACCATGATTTACATATCATTTACATGTCCATAAAGTATGTGCATAGAGTAACCATGTCAAGTTACATAAGGCACTTAAATGTTTATCTATGATTTTGATATCCTTGAGAATCTTGGAGCCAACTACCCATGGATACCAACAGATGACCACATAGATTTTATCCCATAGTCTGTAGAAAACATCAAATGATCAAACCAATGGCCAGCTTCCGTTGCTTA